GTGAGGGTGGTGGGACAGACAGAGAGAAACTGGTCCCTAACGACACGAAGGGACTCAGGAAGACGGGTGACGAGAAAGTAGAGAGTGATATACATGGGAGGAGGGTTTGCGGCGCGGAACTCAGCAGGAAGGGCAGCGCGGTAGCGAGCGTCACTAGCACGGAGGTGGGTAACGAGGTCAGCGACAGTGGGAAAGGAAGCGAGGTCAGGGAAGAGAAACGGTAGCATGAGGCGGCTAAGGGTAGCGGAGGAAGGGGAGGAGTAGCGTGCAACTACAGCGTCGTACAAGGCCTGAGCGGTCTTGCACTGACTAAAGTGGGCACGCTCAGAGGAAGGGAGGTGGCGACGCACAGCAAGACGTGCAGCAGCATCGCGGGTCGCCCACTTGGAGCGAACGGCAGAGTCAGCATCAGCAGGCGGGGCAGGGACAGCTCCAGAGACAAAGTCAAAGAGAGAGACCTCATCTATCGCATCACACAGTAAGTACAGCTGTAGGTCTTCAATCCAGACGGCAAAGTCAATGGCCCTCCCCTCAGCGTCAAAAGTAAGAACATTGGGGGTGGCCATGGCAGCAGCTGAAAGTCTCACCGGGCTGGAGGAGTCGGGTAGGTCAGCAGCAGAGGAACACAGCTCAGGGACAGCAGCACGGCTCCTCAAGTGGCTCGCGTGGCTCAGGCGGCTCGGGCGGCTCGGGCGGCTCGGGCGGCTCGGGCGGCTCGGGCGGCTCGGGCGGCTCGGGCGGCTCGGGCGACTCGCGCGGCTCGGGTGGCGTAGGGGCTCACGGGCGGCGCGGGCTGCTGGGGCTGCTCACGTGCAGCACGGCGGGCTGCAGCAGGGCCGGTGGCGGGCTGTAGCAGGGCCGGCGGCGGGCTGTAGCAGGGCCGGCGGCGGGCTGTAGCAGGGCCGGCGGCGGGCTGTAGCAGGGGCCGGTGGCGGCTGTAGCAGGGCCGGTGGTGGGCTGTAGCAGGGCCGGTGGCGGGCTGTAGCAGGGGCCGGTGGCGGCTGTAGCAGGGCCGGTGGCGGGCTGGGGGGCTGTAGGCGGGGCCGACGCGGCGGGCTGTAGCAGGGGCCGGTGGCGGGCCTAAGCGGGGCCAGCGCGGGGCCGACAGGGCGTAGGTGGGGCCGGCGCGGGGCCGAATAGGGGCCTAAGCGGGGCCAACGGAGCCTACGCGGCCCCGACACGGGGCCGAGACGGGGCCTGGGCGGGGCCTACGCGGGGTCGACGAGGTGTACGCGGGGCCTACGCGGGGTCGACGAGGTGTACGCGGGGTCGACGAGGTGTACGCGGGGTCAACGAGGTGTACGCGGGGCCGACGAGGGGCCTAAGGTGTGGCACCAGACACCGTGTGGCACAAGGTGCGCTTCTCACCCTCCCCTCTCCTTTCTGTGTTGGTGTGACTTTCTAGAATTCTTTCGAGAATTTTCATTCTCAAAAGTCACACCAACATAAGGGGGATATCAGACACCGTGTGGCAGTAGGTGCGCTTCTCCTGTCCCTCTCCTTCCTCCCTCCCCTCTCCTTTCTCCCTCTTCCTCCCCTGTCCGTCCCTCTGTGGCCTGACTGACTGCAAGTCGTCTTGCTGCCCCCGCCTTTGCGTTTGTCCCGCTCTGCAATGTTTCACGTGCATTGTGATTGGCTGATTGCCGTGCATGATTTGTGGTGGCTGCTGTGCTGTTTGTTGCGCTCACTCCCCTCCTTCCCTCCTCCTTCCCTCCCCCTTCCCTCCCCCTTCCCTCCCCCTTCCCTCCCCCTTCCTTCCCCCTTCCCTCCCCCTTCCCTCCCCCTTCCTTCCCCCTTCCCTCCCCCTTCTCTCCCCCTTCTCTCCCCCTTCTCTCCCCCTTCCCTCCCCCTTCCCTCCCCCTTCCCTTCCCCTTCCCACCCCCTTCCCTCCCCTCCCCCTTCCCTCCCCCTTCCCTCCCCACCCCCTTATCCCCCCCTTACCTCCCCCTTCCGTCCCCCTTCCGTCCCCCTTCCGTCCCCCTTCCGTCCCCCTTCCGTCCCCCTTCCCTCCCGTCTCCAGCTGCAAGGCATCAAGGCGAGCTACCTCAAGCTCCCCTTCCCTCCACTCCCCACCCCCACCGCCTCCCCCCCGACAGCTGCAAGGCATCAAGGCGAGCTACCTCAAGGGCATGAAGGAGATTCACTCAGCTACTGAAGCGCATCAAAAGCTGCGAGGCATTAAGGGGAGCCTGAATATGTTGCTGTGTGTTTCACCCCAACCCCCCGGCAGCTGCAAGGCATCAAGGCGAGCTACCTCAAGGGCATGAAGGAGATTCACTCGGCTACTGAAGCGCATCAAAAGCTGCGAGGCATTAAGGGGAGCCTGAATATGTTGCTGTGTGTTTCACCCCAACCCCCGGCCAGCTGCAAGGCATCAAGGCGAGCTACCTCAAGGACATGAAGGAGATTCACAGCTTCCTTGTTATGAAGAGCCAACAGGTGGGGTAGAGGTGAGGAGAGGTGAGGAGAGGAGAGGAGAGGTGAAGCTATGTTGCGAAAG